CCCCCCCCCTTTCTCCTTCACAGACCACACTTTGCCTTTTAAAAGAAATGCCACCCACATTCAGAGACACAAGTGCAGCAGTTTGGTGAGCTTTTACAACCATGTTTTTTTTTTTTTGGTTTTTTTTGGTTTTGTTTTTTGGTTTTGTTCTGTTTTGTTCTAATTAAATGTATCGTCCTGGGAACCGCAGCCCATCGCAGCCTGACTCCAGTTCCAGGAAATAGATTAGCAAAGGTCTGTTCCGCTCAGCTCAGCCCGCGCTGGGCTTCCGGGCCCCCTCGGGGGGTGCAGGTGCAATACTCAGAGGTGCTCACACGCTTTACTCGACCTCTCAGGAGTTCTCTTATGTCAGAAGTGTATGTCTTACAATGGGTTGGGATGGTAAGTAGCCTCTTTTATTGAGTAATTCAATTATCTCCCTCTTTTTCCGTCCCTCTCCTGCCTGCCTTCCTCCTCGCCTTTAGATCAAAGTGATGCTTGAGAGAGTGAATTGGTATGTTCAAATCAGGATTCTAGCCCGGTTGAGCCCTTTTATAGTTGCACATCCTTTCGATGTTTAATTTTTAAAAATATGACGTACACAGTTTTCTAAAAAAAAAGAAAAAAAAAGTGTTACTGTAACATGACAAAAACCTAAGTAAAAGGCCCCTATGTATGTTTTCAAGCCCTTGGTATGGTATACCTTCTTGTCAGTTCAATTCATTGCTTTGTCTCCAGCCCTCATCTTTGAAGAAAGTGGATACTTCAAGTCCATTTGTAGGAGACAAAGTTACTGAATCTGGTTTATGATACCTGCATTCAAGTTAATGCTCTCCCTCCCCTTTGCCCCACGTCCCCCCCCAAAAGATTGTGGTTCAAGTGGACCCCATTTTCTCATTTTACTCCAATGTCTCTTATGGTGATGGACGTTGAAATTAAGCAAGTCATTTGTAAAGTACTGTTGAAGCACCAAATCTGTAAAGTGTCAATACCCAGTCTCCTCTCCTTGTCTCCACTGTTCTTTGTTCGAAAGCACATGCCTGATCGTGAAAAGTTGATGCAAACGTGTTACACGCCCAGTCATGGTGGAGAGAACACTTCCCTCGGCCCCCAGCCCCCCTTCTCTACATGTACAAGGAAAAAACCGCGACAGAAATGACTTGCAGAACCGAACACTGTACTTCTGATGTGTTTTACAAGCATAAGTTCTCCCGTTAAAAGACAAAACACGTTGAAGTTCTGTTTTCCCTCTTGTCCACTTTTGGTCCCCGACATACTTGGGTGGAGAAAGCTTTTGCACACACAGCCCTCTTCCACTCCCAAAGATCAGGTTTCCTTTTTTTTTCCGCTCTTGGGAGAAGAGAAAGTTCACTGCCTTCAGATGAGGAAACCTGTAAATTGCAATGCCGTGGGCCACTTGTTCTTCCTCTCATGGTGTTCACAACCTAACTGCTGGGAAGTGATGACGTTAGGTGTGTAAAGTCTATTGTGGGAGAAAGAAATGTCCACACAGTACAGTGTCCTGCAAAAAAAAAAAAAAAAATGATGTCTGAAGCACAAACTGAACACACTTTCCAGGGCGCAAGGTCAGCCGAAAATGAATTGCATTTAAAGTTTCCCCTCCTTTGTGAAATTCCTCCTCCAGGAGCCAAGTGCAGAAACCCGCTGCTATAGATGAACCTTCCAGGGTTCAGGAGCTACTACGTTGCGGAGGGATGCTAATGGAACTTTACTTTGAAATGTTAAGGAAATAGGATTTCTTTTCTCAGAAGTTGAGCAATCCTATATCGCATTTGAAAACATTTCCCTAAACATTTAAAAAGCGCTCAGGCATATCCACACAAGGGTTTGTTGTTTTTACATTCTCAAAGGAATCTCATGTATCAAACCCAAGAAACCCCAGTAATTATGCCAGACTGTTTGGGTAGCCTTTGTTTTTGAAATGTCACAGTACTACTGCCTTTTTTCTTCCCAAAACTGATGTACCGGTATTCGTTAAAATTCAAATTAACGGATGTTGCAAAGAAAAAGAAAAGGGTGTCACTCAGAATACCTGATTTAACGGCAACTCTCATACACTTGTAAAATTTTGTATTCTCTGGGGAGAGGTTTACTCCGAAAGCAGTTAAAAATCTCCCAGTAGAATAAAAATCATTGTGACCAGGAAAACATGGATATTCTGGTCCTTAAAGCCCCTATTTTTCTTATTCCCCTCAAATTTGCTCTTCAAAAGAAAATAATAGGATTCCCCCCAAAAGGGCTTTCTATTTCACATTCTGTCCTGTCTCCCAGATAGGGTTTCATTAAATTTTTTGATCTTGAAAACAGCATTTTGTTTTTACATAGAGCTACTTTCTGAAGCCACAAAGGTGGCCTTTCCTTCGCCAGGAAGGCTGTTCCCCAGGGAAAACTTGGCACCTGGGGAAATGAAGGCTTTCCCAGGTGTTGCGTACCTGGCACGTTAGAGATGAATGGTTGACTCTGAATTTGTATGCTCCTGTCCAGTTGAATAGGGACAATTTCTGTATTGGGCCGGTTTATCTTTAATAATGCCTCGACCTCTGCTCCTTTCTCTTAGATCTTTTCCCTTTGCTGCTACAAGGGAAATGGATGTCTCAGGGTTGCCTTATTCCGTTAACATTTTTGTGGCTATTGCGTCCCAGAACCATCTTGTATAGGCCAGATCCAGATGCAGTCAATACGTCGATGGTGAAAATTGCTACTGAAACGGTTGCCAGGCCTCTGTGAATACCCTATTCCAGACAACCTAATTCTGGTGCCTGTGGATACCTTCTCGTACCAGAGGGAGTGGTTCTGACCCAGGTTAGGAGGTAGAGTGACAGAAAATAATTCAGAGCAAATAATGAAATCGCTAAGTTTCTAAACGAGCAAGGCATTTGCGTGTACCGTGGCAACGTTTCTGACCTAAGGAGGAGAGAAAAGGATGGATTCTGAGATTTCTGGCAGTTGGTATTTAATAAGCTGATTCAAGGACCCGTCGCAGCCGTCTGCTTGTAGGTGGAGGGGATCCTGTCAGAATGAGTGGTTTGAGGCTGGTTTCATAATTAAAACCTAATGGAAAGAGCGGAAAAGCTGCCTCATTGTCTGGGCTGCATATGAGGTTCATTTGGATAAATTAAGGTAAGACGTCGGAGGAGCCAGGTTTCATGGATTTGGGTTTCTAAATGTCGGCCTAGTCTTCGCTGCAGACCTGTTTTGCTTTTGGTAGTTCACAAAGATGCCGTTTTGAAGACTGTGCGGTGTTGTTGTTTTTTCCATTTAGTAACGAGATGAGGTTACATGGGCTGTTTTTAAATACATTTCTGACTCAGTTGATGGCAAGGTGAACGTCGTCACATCCTGCTGCTGGAATAATTTTTTAGCAGAACAGAGGTTATTTGCTTAGAGGTTATTTGGCCTTCTCCTGGCCAAATTGCTCTGGGTAGAGGATCTTGTGTGTTTTTTGTCATTTCATATGTGTCTGTTGGTGACTCAGCTCTCTTGTTTGTAAGGCAAGCGGTGACATCTTCCAAACATCGAGGGGCAGCAGGATATGAAAGAACAGTGTGGGCTTTGGCGGCAGATAAGCCCTGCCTGCAGTGTACGGTGGGCACAGATAACGCCCACTTCTCGGGTCAGTCAAATGGGCATATGCAGGACACCCACGCAGTGCCTGGCATTCAGTGAGTCTTGGTTTCTTTGTCTCCCTGCTGTCCCTACTAGAGAAAAATTGTCAATAGAATTTGCAGGCCGGTGGGTAAACAGAAGTCAGAATAACATCTGTGTTCTTGAGGGAAGTCTTGTCTTCCTCTTTGTAGGTTTCTGGTCAGCTTACTCCATTGCAAGGAGCTGATCGGGGTTGAAGCTAAGTGGGAGCCATCTTAGGGCATTTCTGGCTTGCATCATGTCCTTATTACAGATGCTAGAACAGTCATGCTGTCTTAAGCTTATGCTGACTACCTTCCTGTGTTCATCTTTTGCTGTTAGGATCTGAGTCTGCTACAGCCTTGGTAGGCCTCTAGCGCCTCACCCACAGCTAGGAAGTCACATCACCTTGAGCAAGTCCTTTACCCTCTCCAGGGCCTCTTAGAGAACCGAGCCAGGACTGTCCCAGCTCTCGGATTCGTCCACCCCATGGCTGAGTCAGTTAAGGTTTTGTTCGTCCATTCTGCAGCCAGGCTAGTCCCGTGCTTTTCTTGGAGCAGAAAAGTTTTTGGCAGGTGCAAGGAGCTCTTCTCTCCTTTGGACTTTATTTAGAGTTGGGCGGAGGTTGGTACTGCCTTTAACAGGCCTCATATTTCCTTGCCGTGCCTGACCTACCTTCTGCAGCTTCTGGCCACAGTAAGGAGTGGCTGCTATTTCTGTAGCTCCCAGTACCCAGCTGCAAGGTAAATGCCTTAGAAATGAGTTGTAAGGTCAGACACTATGTGGCTAGGTCACGGGCAGATCCATCAGAGAAACCTTGGCTCAGCAGCAAGCTCAGCACCTGGTTCCCTTGTCCCAGAAACTCCCAAGGCCATAAAGCCGAATACAGCATGGCTGCTGCCTGCTCGCGCCATCCTCTTCTGGTGGACGGAGGGTGGGAAGTGGTGAAAGGCCGGGAATGTGGGACCCAGACGGGAAGAGACTCCTCAGTCTGTCAGTTTCCTGGCCCTCCCAAAGGTGTGACAGTGCCGAACTGTCACGTGAAGAGCCTCATGTCCTGCCGGGGGCCCTCTGAGTGCGTCTGCATTGGCCACGTCAGCTGTCTGCTGAGAAACTGAAACAGAGCTGAAGTCACTTGTCCAAGGTCACAGAGCTAGTGGGTGTGGGGGCAGAGTTAGAACCCTGCTGCCTGTACTGAGCTCTGTACTGAATATGCTGTCCTGGATCTTGCATGGTATTTTTCCAACTGCAGCATGCAGCCATCAGTGGGATGTGATGTCCATTTGTTGATTTGTCTCCTACTTTTGAAAAATGAAATGGAAGAGGGTAGAAAAAGCAGAGTACAGCAAAGGTTCAAGGTGACTTCGTGAAACTTTTGAGAGAAATGTAGAGGAGATGTGGGTCTAAGTCAAGGTTTGAGAACCACTGCACATAGAATAGGATGGGGCAAACTGTGGCTCTCTGGCCACAGCCAGCCCACCCACCCTGTTGTAAGTAAAGTTTTATTGGACCACAGCTACACCTATTCGTTTCTATCTTCTGTGTTTGCTTTTGTGCTAAACAGCAGAATTGAGTAGTTGGGACAGAAACTGCCAAACCTAAAGTATTTATTTAATCTCTGGCCCCTGCGCTGGTATAATGTGCCTAGTGCCTGGTACGTCTGCACAGCAGCTGTGGTCCTCACTTTTGTTGTGGTGGTGGAGGTGGTGGAAAAGAATGGGAAGGAATACAGGTATTCCCTTTAAAATTGGCCCCAG